AAAAAAAAAAAACTGTCACAAATGGATAAGGAAAAGACAACCCTATAGATAAACAGACAAATAAAACGGGCATTTCACAAAGAGAAAACATGAATAGGCAAGAAACATTTTAAAAGATGCTTGACCTCATTTGATGTAAAGAGATGAAAATTATTACCTCAATGAAACAAGCATTTACACGTACCAGACTTTCAGAAATTAAAGAACTGGATCATCCAAGCAGACAAAATGTGAAGAAACACGAACCCTTATATACTGCTAGTGAGTTTTTTGTTTTGTTTGTTTTGTTTTGTTTTGTTTTTTTGGAGATGGAGTCTTGTTCTGTCACCAGGTTGGAGTGCAGTGGCACGGTGTCGGCTCACTGCAACCTCTGCCTCCCGGGTTCAAGCAATTGTCCTGCCTCAGCCTCTCGAGTAGCTAGGATTACAGGCACACACCACCCTGCCCAGCTAATTTTTGTATTTTTAGTAGTGACAAGGTTTCACCATGTTGGTCAGGATGGTCTTAATCTCTTGACCTTGTGATCCGCCTGCTTCAGCCTCCCAAAGTACTGGGATTACAGGCATGAGCCACCGCACCCAGCCTGCTAGTGAGATTCTTTAACTGGTACAGTTACTTTGGAAAGATGTTTTGGTGTTACCTGGTAAAACTGAAGATGCAAGTGCCCTTTCATCAAGCAGTTCTACTACTAGGAGTGTGTGTGTGTGTTTGTATGTATATGTTATCTGTCCTTTCTCCATTGATTGTTAATACCACCTTTATCAAGTTATCCTATTTTCATGGGCCTATTTCTAGGCTCTCTAATATGTTATGTTGGTGGTTTGTTTATGCAACAATGTTGTGGTGGCTTAATTACTATAATTTAAAAGTAAGTTTTAGTGTCTAGTAGGGTCATCTTCCGGAATGTCTTCAGGGATGTTTGGCTATTCCTGGTCCTTTGTTCTTCCATATAAACCTTAGGATCAACTTGTCAAGTCTTATGCCTTATTGGGATTGTTATTGAAATTACATTGAATTACTTTGAATTGATAAGTCATTTTTGAAAATAATTTTCCTGAATATATTTCTCCATTTATTTAGGTCTATCTTAATGTCTTTCAGTCAAATTTTACAATTTTCTTTATAAACTTCTCATAGTCTTTTGTTAGATTTCTTCCTATGTATTGATGTGTGTCTGTGTGTTTGTGAGAGAGGGAGGGAGGGAAGAAAAAGGTAGTGGAGGAAGGAGAGAGAAAAAGAATATATAATTAAACATCAATTTAAAAACAGCTTTATTGAGAAATAATTTACATACCATAAAATTTACTCATTTTATGTGTACAGTTCAATGATTTTTAGTAAATCTTCAGAGTTGTGCAACTATCACTACAATCTAATTTTAGAACATTTCTATCACCCTAAAGCTCGTGCCAGTCACTCTTGGCACACTTGTTGGCAGTAACTCCTTATTCCTATCCCTAGCCCCAGGCAACCACCGATGTAGTTTTTAAAAAAAAAAAAAAAGGAAGACTTTTTTAAAGCCTTTTTAGTACGAACACATAAAAATACACAAAGTTGGCCGGGCGAGGTGGCTCACGCCTGTAATCCAAGCACTTTGGAGGCCAAGGTGGGCAGATCACCTGAGGTCGGGAGTTCAAGACCAGCCTGACCAACCTGGTAAAACCTCGTCTTTCAATAAATAAATAAAATACACAAAGTTGACAAGGTAGAACAGTGACTCCCAAACAACCAATAAGGACAGTCTTCTAATCTTCTAACTTCTTACCTGGATTGTTTTAAAACAAGTCTCATTTCTTCCATAAGTATGTCAGTATGTGTCTCCAAGGTATGACAGTTTCTTTTTAAACTGAACTAAAATTTCATTTTCATTATCACACCTAAAAAGATTAATAATTTTTTTCCCATTTATTTATTTTATTGCATTTTAGGTTTTGGGGTATATGTGAAGAACATGCAAGATTGTTGCATAGGTACACGCATGGCAGTGTGATTTGCTGCCTTCCTCCCCATCACCTACATCTGGCATCTCTCCCCTTGCTATCTCTCCCCAGCTCCCCATCCCCCACCATCCCTCCCCTATTTCCCCCCAACTGACCCCGGTGTGTAGTGCTCCCTCCCTGTGTCCATGTG